AATTGCAATAATGAACACAGACAAAAAGTGCTGCCCTCTTGGACCTTTACTAGGAAGGGACAGAAAATAATGTAAATGTTGTAAGAAAATTAAGTAGTATTTAGAAGGTAGTAAGTGCCATGGGGAAAATAAATCATGGAAAGGGGCTAGAGAGTGTCAAGGTAGAGGGAGCAAGTGTAAATAGAGTTCTCAGGGAAGTCCTTGCTGAGGAAGTGACATTTGATCAGAAGTTGAAGGTAGCAAGGGAGTGAGCCGTACAGATACAGGGCTGATATTTGGGCCAGAAGTTGTCTTGAATGTTGTGGTAGGTATATGGGATGAATCAGGACTCTCGAGGTATGCATCTGAGAGGAGAAGTAGGAGGGAAAAAGTGATGGGAACCTGCGGAACAGATGGGTGGGGACAGTGTTCTAAGCACAAGGAAGGCAGGGGTGCAGGTACCAGACTCGGAGTGTGTGAGGCGGCTTGCACAGTGGAGTGGGCGAGAAGTCACACCCGGTAAAAGTGCCAGTGGTGGGGGTGTTAGCAGAGGAGTGGGGAGGGCGTGCTTGTAGGATTCAAGCTGATGAGCACAGATTTGGCTCCAAACTCGTCTTATTATCTGAATCCGCAGATGGAGATGGGTGTTGTGAACTGGTAGTAGGTTACACAGACCGTGTGGTGCGGGCTTTCCGCTGGGAAGATCTGGGTGAGGGCACAGAACATCTGACAGGGCAGCTGGTGTCACTCAAGAAATGGATGCTGGAGGGTCAGGTGAGAGGCTGGGTGTCCTGGAGCCCGGGGAGCAGGGAGGAAGGCCTCCTGGAGGGGGGTTCTGGGAGAACAGTTGCAGGCCAGGGTACAGGGTGAGAAGAAGGGAGAGTCATCGTATTGAAAGAGATCCAAAGAAGGTAATTTCAAATCAGGGTTAAGAAGTAGGAGTGTGAAGGTGGGTATGACGTGGTCTATATCAGGATCTGGACCTAGCTCAGGCGGGCACAGTGGAAAGCAGATGGTCCGTGTGGAGAGGATGGCACCAGGCAGGAGCCCTGTGAGCGCTAGGATTCTCCCTCCACTGCTACCCTCGAAGTCTGAGGAACTGTTCCTAGAGCCCCTACCCCACCTCTCTCCCCTTTTTTCTTCAGGGCCCCACTTCCTTCTCTCCCCAGCCCCTTAAGCCCCTGTTCCCTGATACAGGTTGACAGCCTCTCGGTGACTCCAGGGCCCCAGGGTGTTCCTGAACTGATGGTGTCTCAGCCGGGCTGTGCTTATGCGATTCTACTATGTACCTGGAACAAAGACACTGGGCGCCCCCCGACCCCTGAGGAGGCCACGGAGGGCAGTAGGTAAGGGGTATAGGCTTGTGGATGGTGGGGTGCGTGGAAGTGAGATGGACTCCTGGGTGCAGACGGCATGGAAGGGTCTGCAGTTGGCAAAGCTGCTTCAGCTAGGTCCTGGCACAAATGCCTTTGCCCCATTAAGGAAGATTGTTTTGGGACCTGGGGAATCTTGGCTTTAACCTTGTAGCACCTGGAAGAGGTTCTAAGACTTTAACCTGGCAGCTCCATCCCTCTCTTTCCTACTTGCCACATGGGCCAGACGGGGTCAGCGATAGGCTTCCAAGCTGCTTCACACCTTGAAAACTCTTACAGAGATGGGACCACAAAGGTCCTGAAGAACTAAGCTCATTTGATCTGCCACTTAGCCCCCGACCCTCCTGCCCACAGGGAGACCCCGGCCGCCCGAGATGTCGTGCTGCACCAGACGTCCGGTCGCATCCATAACAAGAATGTCTCCACTCACCTCATTGGCAACATCAAACGTGGTGAAGGTGGGGTGGGAGTGCGGGAGGGAGCTGAGGGGAAACGTGGGTTCTGGGAGAGAGGAGATGTCTCGAGTCCTGTCCCTTCCTCTCTGTCCCCTCACCTCAGATGCTCTGATCTTGCCTCGCCCCTCACGTTTTCTTCTTCTGGCCCTTCCACCCCACCCACAGGCCACGACGCTGAGAGTGGTGGCTCTGGCCTCTTTGCCCTCTGCACCCTGGATGGTGAGTTCCCCTGGTCAGCTCCAGTCCTGTGCCGGGGTAGGAAGTTGTGTGCCTGTGGGGTGTGCTCAGGCGTCCTGTCCCACCCACCCCAGGCCTGCCTGTCCTCCTGCAGGGACACTGAAGCTTATGGAGGAAGCAGATAAGCTGCTGTGGTCAGTGCAGGTGGATCACCAGCTTTTTGCCCTAGAGAAATTGGATGTCACAGTGAGTAGAAAACCTGGGGAGAGGAACATTCTTACCTTCTTCACATGGAGAGATGAGATTTAAATCAGGCCATCCTCACTTCACAATTAACTCTCAACTTTACTCTTAAGTCTCTCTTTAGACGGATCTAACTCTATCCTGTTTCTGGCCTTTTTCAGGGCAATGGGCATGAGGAGGTGGTTGCCTGTGCCTGGGATGGACAGACATACATCATTGATCACAAGCGCACTGTCGTCCGCTTCCAAGTGGACGAGAATATCCGAGCCTTCTGTGCAGGTGGGACCCTGCCCCATGGCCCCTCTCTAAGCACGCTTGTCTGCCCCTCGTGTCCACTCTCAATGTGTTCCCTCCATCTCTGAATGTTTTAAAGGATGGGGCGAGTTATCATCATCTGTCTGGCTGGGATGCATGAAGACATCAGAAAGTTCTTTCCTTTCTAACTATGTCACAACTCTGTGAAGAACATTCATCCAGAGCATTCTTATTAGTTCTAAATTGGGGGCCTTGAAAACCACCACAGACTCTTCTGGGTGATGTGGGATATCTTTGGTTCCTGAAATGATGGAAACTGAGTAGTGCTCTGGCGTGCAGACTCCAGTGACCTGAAAGGTTAATATGCCTTTGAAGAGGGCTTTCCACCCAAGAGAAGCCTCAGGTTCCAATCACGTTTTGCTGATCTATCCCTTAGACTAGCAAGACTCATTACTTCAGGGCTATCACCAAGATGGGAAAATCAGGGGCCGGCCCCCTGGCCGAGTGGTTAAGTTCGCGCGCTCTGCTTCCGTGGCCCAGGGTTTCTCTGGTTCAGATCCTGGGCGTGGACATGGCACCGCTCATCAGGCCATGCTGAGGCAGCGTCCCACATGCCACAACTACAAGGATCCACGACTAAAATACACAACTACGTACTGAGGGGATTTGGAGAAAAAGCAGAAAGGAAAAAAAAAAAGATTGGCAACAGTTGTTAGCTAAGGTGACAATCTTAAAAAAAAAAAGATGATAAAATCAATAAATATCACCTTTATAGATGCTATTCTGCCTAGGTTTTGTTCCTATGGTTTTTCTGTATCTGGAATAAGCCAGATATTTTACCGAGTTCTCAACAGAGAACAAATAGAGGGCCTTTAGCTTTCTGCTTGACATCTGTGGGAGGGTCAAAACTGCTGACTCTGACGCCTGCATCTTGTTCTCTCCCTCCCACTGCTGGGACTGGAACTTCTGCCCTTTTTCTCACCACCCACACCTCCCAGGCCTGTATGCCTGCAAAGAGGGCCGCAACAGCCCCTGCCTCGTGTACGTCACGTTCAACCAGAAGATCTATGTGTACTGGGAGGTGCAGCTGGAGCGGATGGAGTCCACCAATCTGCTCAAGCTGCTGGAGGCTGAGCCAGAGTTCCGGTGCCTGCTGCAGGAGCTGGGCGTGGGTGAGTCCCAGGAAGGCTGCAGGGCGAAGATGCCCGGGGGCCCAGGGAGGAGATCCACAGCCTCTTATCAGCCCCTTTCTTGCCCTCAGATCCTGACAACCTCCCAGCCGCCAGTGCCCTGCTTCACCAAACCCTCTACCATCCGGACCAGCCACCACAGTGTGCTCCCGCAACCCTCCAGGATCCCACCTAGCTAGACTTGCCCTCTTAGCTGAAGAAGGATCCTTCTGAACCTCCCCCCGTAAGGTATCCATGGCATTGGCAGGATAGGGAATACACACTACAGACGAGCATGGACGGATGGTGTCAACCGTAGGGTGACTGTGAACTCTAGACTTCATGGTCTTTTTGGTGAAAGAAGAGACAAGTTGACCCTCTGCCCATTTTCTTGTGTACCTCACCCATCACATCGGCAGGGTTGTAGGGCCCTGACCTTATTCCACATCATCTGGGACTTCCCCTTCCCAAGAGCTCCCCACTCTTGTGTGGAAAACAGACTTGTTTGTGAGGAGGGAGCACAAATCTTTTGCACGGCCTCAACACTTGCAGGGAAACCAGGCTTTGGGGCCAGTGGAGTGATGAGGTAAGGGCTCCACCCCTCCCAAGCTCCGTCTGCTGTGGCACAATGCCGAGTCGTTGACATTAGTAATTGTTACGGGAATGACAGACTATTTGTTTTGTTTTTGAAGGGTCTTTCAGGGCATTTTACAGTCTGGTCTCACTGTGTTCCCAGCAAACCCTGAAATGATTTTCCTCTATTTACCAAAGAAACTGTGCCAGCACTTTCTCCTTTGCCATGTTCTTCAAGTATTCCACAGCTTCATAGGCTTTGCCTCTGTTTCCCCCCAAAATGCCTTCTTGTCTATAAGACAGTAGACGTTTAAAATCTGATGCAGATTTATGATCCAGACCACAATCAGAATTGTATCTTGGGCCATTTATTTCCTTTGTGCTGTTGGTTGTGTGTGCTATAAATCAGTGTTTTCAAATTGTAGGTTGCAATCTTTTGGTGGGTTGTGGTCAGCATTTTTGGAATAAGTGAAATAGAATAGAATAGAATGGAAAATATCAGAGTATATTGCTCACAGTATAGAGAAGTACTGTTTTGTTATAATTGTATGTGTACATGCACATGTGTATTCTGAGTGCAGTGTAAAATATATTTCTTGCTATGAAGTGTGTTCAAAGGAGTTTGAAAGCCAATCCTCTCAATTATACTGATCCCAGCCAGATGGGTCAGCCTGGGAAAGGTCCACATTCACATTTCCTTTCTGTCGGGGAATGAGGGCGGAGTTATCGTTCAGCCTCTGATGGGCGTGGAGGAAGACCAGAGGAGGACATCAGCGTAGAGAAACAGGTGTTTATTCAAATGGAGAAGCAGCTGAGCTGAGGGCCTGCCAGTGGGCCTGGGGTCTGCAATTACAGAAGCAGCAGGAGGCAGAAGGGAAAGGAACGGGGAGACCCAGGAAAGCAGAGGTCACGGAGCGAGGCTGTGGGGACCAGCGTACGAGTACGTGTGACACAGTGAGCTCTCTCCTCCCCTTGAGGGCAGAGGACTCAGCGGAGAAAGGGAAGGCCGGCTGTCACACGGCAGCTCCTTGCATCCTGGTTCTCTAATCTACCGCAGGCTCAGGATTTTGTTTCCAGCCCAAGGATCCTCGTTCCCTAGTTCCGGTTATTATCCCACTATCTTCCTCTCCCCCTAATCCGTGATTTGAGAGACTCAGGCCAGCCAGAAAGACATTCAGGGCTCTGGCTCCTTAAGGTTTGGGTTCCTGTCTTCACAGTGACGTCAGCAGAACCTCCTTGTCTCTTTGCTTTGGCTCAGAGCCTGGCGGGGGTTAGGAAACCACTGATTCCAAAACCAGACAAGCTCAAGCTCAGGAGGCCAGAGATGAGGGGTGGGAAGAGGTCTAATGAGTTGGATAGTTCTAGAAACAAGGAATCCTGGTCAGGTTAAGTCTGAGTACTGACAACCCCACCATCCTGTCCACCTTGGGGGCAGTTCTCTCCAAGGTTTTCCACACAGCCCCCAAAGTTCAGGGCCCAGTAGGTGAAAAAGCAAGTGGAGAAGGATAAAGATCTGGAGTAAATATCAGAGGTATAGCCAAGGCTTTGCACAGGGTATAATAATAACAACTGGCTTCAGGCGTTTGCAGCTCCAGAAAGGGTAACTGAAAGAGCTCCCAGCCTTGTGAGCCACACATTCCTCTGCTAACTCACCTTCCTTGTTGTATTAAAATGCTCTGTTTACTATTTCTCCCCCCCACTCAACTGTGAGCAGACGTGTAGAGAATCAGAAAGGCAGGCGCTGGCTGGGCCAGGGACCCAGGTTGGGGAAGTTGGCAGTCTAGCTGAGGGAGATGACAAGCCCTAGAGGTGGAGGGAGAGACGTGGGGGTGAGGGCAGTCAAGGGGTGTCTGGGGTGGAGTCAAGGGACGGGTGCAGGACAGCAGTATCTGCAGCCTTTGACTCAGGCCTCTTCTAACTGTACTGAGGGCCCAGCCTGGAACCCCATTTTGCTGAGGTCCTTTTCTGCAGTCCTGACTTGGCTTTGCTCAACTTGGGGGTGGATGAGAGAGAATAGGGAAACCAGAACCCCGAGATTGTGAGCCTTCTCTTGTGAAAACTCCTCCAGGGGATGGGGCAGTTGCTGAGAAGCAGAGACGGATGTGGCTGACTGAGGGAACCGGGACGGCGGGGTCAGAATGGTGATAAAAGGAATAGACAGTAGTCCCCAGCTATGGCTCTAGTAATGCCCCTGAACCCCACACGGCTCTTCCCCCCGAGGACTGACTGGGACCCCGTCACTGGCCGGGCTCTTGGTACCAGGGCAGGAAGGGCAGCTCTGGGAGAGGGGCCTTCAGCCGCAGCACTCCGTGCTCCAGGTCGATACAGCACTGCAGGTGTGGAGGGGGGGTGAGCTCACCGCCACAGGTGACCTCTCCCAGCCCACTCTTCTGTATTCCCCCTCCCACTTCCCCCAGCTCCCCGCTGCTCCTTGTTCTGCCCCCTGTTTCCATTCACCTGGACCCCTGGCAGGGAGGAAACCAGTTCTCCATATTTTTCACTTGTGGGCGAATAAGGAACCTCTAGGGAGGCAAAGGTGAGATGGCATATCTCCGGGTCCCTCTCATCAGACCCGACCCCTGCTTCCACACTGGCGCCTCCTACCTCCTTTCCCAGCCCTGGGAGCAGGCCCCAAGCGTGAGCACAAGTGCTAGCGTCCTCCTTACCTTGAGAGAAAGCAGCGTTTGCAGTCCAAGAGAGAATTCAGGACTCTCAACGTCTGCAGGAATCGTTTGAAAACAGAAGAGGCTGGAGGGTCCCCAGCAGTCACTGCTGCCCTCCTGTCAGCACTCACTCCTTCTCTGCCCGCTCCACCCCCGCCAGGTTTGAGGATATTGGCACAGAGACTGGGGACGATCAGAGCATCTTTGGGGATACTTTGTGTGGTGCTGGCAGGGGCTGAAAGTCTCTGCTTCTGCCCACCCAGGAGAGGAAGGTAAAAGTGAGAAGCTGGACCGTTAATGGAGGGAGGACTTACCCACCACCTGGGCCTCGCACACCACCGTCTCCTGGCCCAGCTGTAGCTCCAGCTGCTCCACCTGGGTTGGGGGCCCAGGTGCCAGGTCCTCCCCTGGGGCTTTTAGGGCCCTCTTCCCTAACCTGTGGTTGGGAAGCAAGGGTTACGGCCACCACAGCCCCCACCCCCACCCATTAGTCAGCTAATGCCCCTCCGCACCACACTTTGGGTTCTTATCCCATCCCTGGCCCTACATGGGGTCTAAATCCTTGTCTTCTCTGCCCGAGCCCCCATCAACTCTTTTTGTTAAAGAACAGCTTTATTGAGGTGAAGTTTATATACCATAACAGTCACCCTTTTAACGTGGACACTTCAGTAGTTTTTGGTATAGTCCCCGAGATATGCAACCATCACTCCTATCTAATTTCAGACTCTTTTCTTCACTCCCAAAAGAAGCCCCGTGCCCCAACCCTCTTCAGGCCGCCCTCTTACCCCAGGCGGCTGAGGCATCCAGCAGAGATCTGATTGGAGTGGGTGCCTGTGTCCACGGCCACCCTCAGCACCTGGTCCCGGCACTGAGAAATAGGGTTGTGGGGATTCAGTGAGTCCTCGGGAGAAGGATCCCTCACCTTCCCCAACCCTTCGGTGATTCCCTTTCAGAAATGAGTGAAGGGAGAGAACGGGTGATTTTTATGGGACTCATAGAATTGAGTCAAAACTGGCTCTGATAAAGGAATTTAAAAAGGAGGTAGAGCTGCACATGGTGAGTCCATACGTTTGGGAACAATTCGACCAGAAATGGGGATCTTTTCATTTAGAGGACTTCCTGGAGGCTGAGGGCCTCCCTGTAGAGAAATCTCATTAGGAGCAAGGGAAGACTGGGATGCCCTGTCAGGAAATTCAGATGTGCATGACCAAGAGGTTCGCCACTGGAAACAAAGGAAGACAAGTTCACTTTCTTTTGGATACACACAGACATTCTGGGTTACACCTGGATATCACAAACATTTCATTTTCTCATTCCAAACATCATTGGCTACCTGCTACGCGTGGGTGTGTTGCTGGGAGGTGTGGCAGTGAGTGCTGTTGTTTTGGAGCGTAAGGGGAGTGAAGTGTAATCATGGTGTGCTGGAGAGTTTAAGGGCTATGAAAGTATTGTGAGTAAAGTGCCTTAAATGTTGAGAGGGAGGAAAGGTATTTATCACTGGGGAAATCAGAAAAAGTTTCAAGGAGGAGGTAACATTTGAGGCCTTAAAAGATTGTAGAATGTGGATATAGGATGGTTGGAGAGCAGGAAGAGGAGATGCTGAGCAAAGACAGTGGCAGAAGAGCAGTGAGCATTTGTTAGGAATGGTTCAATATTGGTTGGATAGTTAAATGGTTCCAGAGATGACAAGGCTGTCACTTTGGAACACATGAGGTCTCTCCAGGAGGGTTTCATTGTCCATACGCATACACACCATCCGTATATGTAGAGTACACTGAAGAGCGTTTGTGTATTCACATTTAAAGATTATCCTTTAATAGAGGAAAGGGAGTAATGGTGGTGACCAATGGAATTGCAGGGGGAAGATGGGTGAGGCAGAGAGTAAAGAAGATAGAGGATCCCATTTTTAGGCCCAGGCTCGGGGGAGAGGTGCTGTTTCTCCTCTCCTTCCCTCACCACCCAGAGCAGAAAGGAGAGGGAGTGAAGTGAGCCAGTCACAGGCAGCATTAATGAAGGTCAGTGTCCTGGGAGGCCTCTCACCTTGCAGTTGACCAGAAGAGCTGGAATCTCTGCCTTGCTGGTCTTCTTCCTGCTCTCCTGGCCATGAATCAGGGCCTGTACCTGGGGAGACTCCCCCTGAAGCCGACTCTGGTTTCCCTCCACCAGACGTCTTTGGATCACGCTGTGCGGCTGCTGGCTCCATCACAAAACAATGAAAGTAGACAGAGCTAAACCAAGTATCCAAGCTGCTCAGGCCTCCCGCCTTAGGTATCCTAGGATGTTCTCCCCAGCCCACTCCAGTCCTGAGTTTCACAGGAGTGAGAAAGGGGCAGGAGCTTACCCAAGGATCCCAGGAGTCAGCTCATTATAGCAGAGTGAACCCCAGTATCAAATCATGCCGTTTTTCTGGAACCCCAATAGATTGCTCAGCAATGAAAAAATAGGAAGAGGAGAATGGTTCATTGTAGGTTAGATTGACCTATAGGCTGATGGGATGTTTCAGGAACTAGTATTATGCTTGGGAGAAATTCTGTCTCAAGTCTACAACACATTTTTGGGGGGACGGTTTTTTTACTCCCCTCTGACCTCATCCTTCAATGGGTTGCAGATCCCAGGGTTGATGGTGTGATGAAAAGAAATCAAAGTAAAAAACAAAAAAAACAAAAAAGTCAAAATCTTCAAAACCAGGATACTGGGAATCATCCTTGAACTCTCCTTCACCTGCGACCACCTCACCCTGGCCAATCACTTCCGAAATTCTACCCGGTTCGCCTCCTGTGTTTACAGTCCGTCCCTCCTTTCTATTCTTGCCTTTACTGAGGCCTCCCCACAGCTCCCCGGATCACTGGAATGCCTCCCTAAGTTCATAAGAACCTGCCTCCAGTGCTCTTGCCTCTCAAATACACCTGCTCAAAGCCACTGATTATCTAAAACTCTTGCTACTCAAAGCGTGGTCCTCAGATCAGCAGCTTTAACATCACTTGGAAGCCTGTTGGAAATGCAGAATCACGACCTACTGAATCAAGCCAAGATGCCCAGATGATTCGTTTGCACGTTAAAGTTTGAGAAGCACCAAAGTAAAACATAAAACTAACTCCCCTGTTACTCCCCTGTTTAACGTCCATTAAAGCCTTCCCCCATTGCTTACATGATAGAGCCCAAGCTTTTTAAGGTGACAGCCCAGATGACTTGGCCACTGCCTGAATCTTCAGCCTCATCTCCCCATCTCCAAACATCTGCCCCAGCGAGCCTGCTTGGACCACTTGGACCAGGCTGTTTTTCGCCTCCATGCCTTTGCTCCTGCCTTCTCCTCTTCCCAAAGCCCCTCTTTCCCACTATTCTCTAGGCCAAGCTGGATGACTGGCTCAACACACTTTGTTCAGGAACTGCTCTTCATTTGGGAGAGAGGTTTGTATCTGAAGTCTGGGATTCCATGTGCATTCCGTAATTAGTGCAGGGTTTACCTCCTCCAGGAAGCCCTCTCTGACCTCTGTGTACTCTTCCCTCCACACAGGCTGAGGCAGCGTCCCATCTCTTAGCTCCCTTTGTCATGCTTCTCACAGTTGTTATTTGTGGATTTCACTCCCCCATTAGCCTGGAGAGCCCTCAGGGTCAGGTCTGTATCTCGCTCATCTTTATATCTCAAGGCTTAGCTCAGTATATAGTAGGCACTCAATAAATGCTTGCTGAAGAATGGCTGCTCCTCCAGGCTCTGCACATGCTTCTCCACCTGCCCTCTCTCCTTGGGAGCCTGGGATTGTTTTTCTACCCTTGGCTTAATGCAGCCCTTGGGGCTGCTCCCACCACAAGGCTGCCAGCAGGAGACTCGGCTCTGGGAAAAGGGCAGCCGGCTCTGGAGCTGGCCGGAAACAGGCTCTGCGGTTCCCAGCTCTCCTCCCACCTTTCCCACGGTGGATACAGGCTTCAGGCCCACCGCTGCTGTATGGTTTGCGCCAGAGCTATCCCAGGGAGGAATACAATGAGATCCTCCCAGCTGTTGTGTCTTCATTCCCAAAGCCACGCAAGGTAACTGTTCAAGATCAATGCAGGAGGTCCTGAGGCAGAAGGGAGAGGTGAAAAGCCCAGGACTTTCTCATCCAGAAAGCTGGACCTGGGGCTGGCCCAGTGGCGGAGCGGTTAAGTTCTCACGTTCCGCTTCTCAGCAGCCCGGGGTTCGCCAGTTCGGATCCCGGGTGTGGACATGGCACCGCTTGGCAAGCCCGGCTGTGACAGGTGTCCCACATATAAAGTAGAGGAAGATGGGCATGGATGTTAGCTCAGGGCCAGTCTTCCTCAGCAAAAAGAGGAGGATTGGCAGCAGTTAGGTCAGGGCTGATCTTCCTCCAAAAAAAAAAAGCAGGACCTGCCACTCTGGGATGGCAGTTTTAATAGAGCATCTTCTCCAGGGCCAGATCTATGTAGGTGGTCCCCAAAGGGGAAAGGCTGTGCTGTCCTAGCCACTGGGAGCCAAGAACCTGCTCCCTGCTCCATCCCTGTTTCTCAGCTGTGCTTGCTGAGTTTGCAGAAGGAACAGGCCCCTGGACGCTCTCTGAATTGAAATCTCAGTCTGGTCACTTTGCCTCTTTGGGGACTGCTGAGATGGCTGGGAGATGCCTGGCCTCTGGGCTGGGTTCCTGGAGGGGAAACATTTGGCTGGGAGGAACATGGAAAGGTGGGACTAGGTCAGCAAAGGCAGTGGGGGGCTGCATTTGCCTCCAGGTTCCCAGGGAGAAGGGGCTGCGGAAGTGACTATGTTGCAGGAGGACCCTCCTCTCAGACCCTCTGACGAGGACATGGGAGAGAGAACAGAGCGTTCCCAAGCCTTTCTACACAGTCTGCCTTTCTGCTGTGAGCCAGAGGCCAGGTATGGCTCCATGTTCTCTGGACCCTACAGAGCTTGTGTTCTCTCTCAGGCTAAACGGACAGTAGCTAGAGGATCAATAATCATTAGCTTGTAGATGGTGCCTTCTATTATCAGGCACTGTTCTAATCAACCCTATGAGGTGGATACTGTTAATTTTATCCTCAGTTAACAGGTGAAGAAACTATGACACAGAGACATACAGTAACTTGCCCAAGCTAGTGAGTGACAGAGCCCAGATCAGAACCCAAGCCACGTGGCTCCAAAGCTCGAGCTCTGAACCACTCTCTCAGAGAGGGACCCGTACATGCAGTTGACCCCTGACCAGCTCACCTCCTCATTTTCACTCCCCCACCTCATTCCCTCTGGAAACCAAAGCTGCTGCAGGGGCTGGAGGAGAGGAGCCTGGAAGGGCCTTGTACCTAGCAGAGAGCAAGGGGCACTCAAGGAGGCCAGGTGGCCAGCAGGAGCCCTGTGAGTCCCTGATGCGCTGGCAAAGACAGAAGCCTTAAATGCTTCCATTCTGAGGGGAAAAGGCAAATGCATGGCCTGACCTGGTATGGGGACTGTCTGGCTTAGGGAGAGGGGAGAACTCACAACCCTAAACTGGCTGGTCCTCCAGGCCCTCCCAGCCATAAATGACTGCTCCAGAAGGTTCCTGTGCACCTGTAAGCCTCTACTCCTGGACAGCACAGCTCCTCACCCCCGCAAGGTAAGCCTTAGATTGTTTGGGGGAAGCTGAGCAGTCAGAATAGGGTCTCTCAGAGCTGCGAAGCCTCGGGAACATCCCCAGTGAAGAGCCTGAGAGCCATCAAAGCCAAGCCCTTCAGCTGGTGGGATGACCTCTCCCCTTCTCAGCAATGGAAGGGAGTCTGAAGGCTTAGGATTTGCACTGTAGGGTACCCCCCTCCTTCAGAAAGTGGGGAAGTAGAGAGAAAGGGCCAGGGACCTTCCGTGGGGTGGGGAGGGGAGAGGGCCGCCTCACCAAGTCCTTGGAGGTGCCGAGCCTCTTGAGGCTGTCCAGGGGCAGCAGGTCAGCGGAGTCCTTGTGCAGGAACTGGGTAGCCTGTCTGAGCCGGCGCTGCTGGCTCAGGTGGGCTCGGTCCCGAAGCTCTCCCTCCTGTCCCCTCCTGCTAGCGTCTCCCTCCTCTCTCCTGGCCTCCTGCCTGGTGCTCATGGCCCCTGCGGGGCTTGATGAGCTTGGTGAGCGGGATGGGGCTTCTGAGTGGTCCTCCTGTCTGTCCTCTCTGCCTCTTGTGTCCCCGCAGCTTCCCGCCTGTCTCCCTTCCCAGGCTGCAGCTCTCCTGACAGGAGGGTCTCAGCGGGAGGCGAGGAGGAAATAAATAAATAATGTGCAGAGCAGCCGCGTCAGACACCAGTTTCCAGAGATTGCAGTAGAGGGAGTGAGGCTCCGGCTGGAAAAACCCAGCACTAGAAGAGAGGGAGGGTTGGCAGAGCCTGCAGCTGGCAGGCTCTGCAGTGTCTCCACCGCTGGGGTCCTGGTCGGAGTGGGCGGTGGAAGGGGTGTGTGTGTGTCTGTGTGTGTGTGCGTAAGAGCACAGGGGCTGTAACTGTGTGGTAAACTGTCGGAGTGTCTGTGCCAGGTTGTTTGAAAAGCAGTGTGTGGCGGTGTGGGGGTGTCAGCCTGCATGCTTGGCGTGCATGTGGGATGCAGGCGTGTGCGTTCATGTACATGTACCATCCCAGTCTCCTCCTGGGCTGCCCCACTGCTTCGGCTGGGCTTCTCTGCGGCCCAGGGGCTGGGGTTCGTGTCAACACCTAGGTTCACAGCAGAGAGGGGCAGCTTCAAAATGTGCTGCCCTCCTTGCCTCCCCTCGGCAGGAGGCTTCGCCTCTCAGGGCTCCACCTTTCAGTGTGGCAGATGTCAGTCTTTAGCTACTTTACTCTGGGTTCTGGGTTGCAGGCAGTGGCAAGAACAGCTCTGAATCCTCTCACAAGTAGGGCCCCAGCTTTTCCCTCTCCTTTATGTAAGACTCCTTGGGTCCTGGCTCTTTTAAAAAAAGTTATAATTCAAACATGCAGAAAGGTATGAAGAATAACCAGTACCCTTTACTTGCCACCTTGTTTAAAAAATAATCTGTTAGAGAGATAGCTGAACTTCCCTGGGCACCTCTCCGTCTTCCTGGTTGACATGCCCTCCTGAATTTGGTGTCTGTCATTCCCATCCTTCTCCTTTCTCTTTATACTCTTTATGCATATATGTGTGTATGTATCCTAAGCAATATATCATTTAGTTTTGCCCTACCCATTGTATACAGATTGATCTCTACGAGGGGGTTACGTCCCAATAAAACCATTGTGAGTTGAAAATATCGCAGGTCCAAAATGCGTTTAATACACCAAACCTACTGAACGTCATAGCTTAGCCTAGCCTACCTTAAACATGCTCGGAACACTTAAATTAGCCTACAGTTGGGCAAAGTCATCTAACACAAAGCTCATTTTATAATAAACTGTTGAATACCTCATGCAATTGATTGTCTACTGTATTGAAAGTGACAAACAGAATGGCTGTCCGGGTACAGAATGGTTGTAATTGCATCGGTTGTTTATCCTCATGATTGCGTGGCTGACTGGGAGCTGTGGCTGCTGCTGCTGCCCGGCATCCCAAGAAAGTATGTACTGCAGATCACTAGCCCAGGAAAAGATCAAAATTCAAAATTCGAAGTATGGTTTCTACTGAATGCATATTGCTGTCGCATCAGTGTAAAGTTGAAAAATCGTGGGTCAAACCATTGTAAGTTGGACACTGTATATTCTTCTGCAACTTTCTATTTTTTGTTCAATATTTTATTAATGAGATTCATCCATGAGATAGGCTTAGATGTAGTTAATTCACTTTAATAGTTGTATAGTATTCCACTATATGAATACATCACATTTAGGAAATTTAGGTTTTCCTTTTCTGTTCTTACAAACAGTGCTGCTATGAACATTTTTGCATGTATCTCCTGGGGTACATGTATAAGCATTTTTCTAGAGTATATACCTAGGAGTGGAACTGCTGGGATGTCAGATATAAATCTTTGCTATTTTGGCATAATGCCAAATTGCAGTCCTAAGTATTTGTACCACGTGCACTCCAGTCAGCAGTGTATGGGGGTCCTCGGGCCCCACTTCCTTGCCAACAGTTGGTATCAGACTTTTTATAGCCCTGGCTCATCTGTCATCAGATTTTTCTCTCCAGCCTTTCATCTTCACTGTCATCAAAATGCATTGGCCAAGTACTTGCTTTCAAGTGTTGGACACTCACAGGATGAGAGCCCCTCCTGAGCCCTGCTCCAGGGCGGCGCAGTCTGATCCAGACAGCACCAAGGCTCATGCACATTCAGAGAAACCAGGTATCCACTGGCCTTCTGTGGCCCAAGCCTCTTGGAGGCACTTTCACAACCACTACAATTATATGAGGAAGAATTGTGTTATGATCCCCATTTACAATTGAGGAAACTAGCTAAGCATTATGTATGTGAGTCCCAACCCCCAGCACCTCAGAATGTGACCTTATCTGGAAATAGGGTCTTTACAGAGATAATCAAGTTAAGATGAGGTCATTAGGGTGGGCCCTAATCCGATATGCCTGTGTCCTTATTAAAGGGGAAATTTAGACACAGAGATGCAAACAGGAAGAACACCACGTGAACCTGAGTGAACGGAGTGACGCGTCTACAAGCCGAGGAATGTCAAAGATAACTAGAAAGCTACCAGAAGGTAGGAGAGAGGCATGGAACAGATCATTCCTCACAGCCCTTAGGAGCAACCATCCCTGCTCACCTCTTGATCTTGGACTTCCAGCCTCTAGAACTGTGAGACAATACATTTCTATTGTTTAAGCCCCCCAGTTTGTGGTACTTTGTTATGGCAGCCCCACAAAACTAATACCCTAAGACTTAGAAACCTTCCCCAAGATTCAGTTAATGTATGGCAGAGTCAAGAATCAAACCCTGGCCCGGCCCCGTGGCCTAGTGGTTATGTTCCCGTGCTCCGCTGCGGTGGCCCAGGGTTCGGATCCTGGGCGCGGACATGGCACCGCTCGTCAGGCCACGTTGAGGCGGTGTCCCATATGCCACAACTAGAAGGACCTGCAACTAAGATATACAACTATGTACCAGGGGGGATTTGGGGAGATACAGCAGGAAAAAAAAAAAAAAAGATTGGCCACAATTGTTAGCTCAGGTACCAATCTTTAAGAAAAAAAAAAAAAAGATTGGCCACAATTGTTAGCTCAGGTGCCAATCTTTAAAAAAAAAAAAAAAAAGAAGCAAACCCTTGTGTTCTGTGTCCCAAGTCCTGCTCAATTTCCACTATGCCAGAAGGAGAATACTGATGGAGATGATAAATGTGGAATGAAAACCAGGCTACAGTATGATTCATTTACCAAGCTCTGGCCCACCCAGATCCTGGCTTCATATATTGGTGTTGGAATATTTCAGCTCCCTCCCATGCCTTGACATCCATTACCATCATACTTTTGTCTGGGATAGAGGTTGAAGAGGATCCACTGACATGTGCTGGGTTCCTGTGGTGGTTTCAAGAGCATTAATCGTATACATCGACAGATCCGTGAGTGAACCAACATACTGTGATGCTGGGTGGGCCCCAACGCTGAAAGGTATCTCCTTCAACTTTATTCTTAGCAATTCATTTGTTAGGTTTAAAAATTCTTCAACGTCTTCAAGAGTCCTCTATTAATTCATTCTTTGGAGCAGTAATGCTATCAGTGAACAAGAATGAGATGACTCTAGGGCACTCGGTAAAGTTGCCTTGGGCCAGGCTGACAATGTGGATGGGATGTCTCAGGACTCTCGGGTGCACTTAGGTTTGTAGGCTGCACCCAGGAAAGAGTAAACATACCTGTGGCATGGAATGGAGACTTTGGAGTTTACAATTTGGATGGGGTGAGGTTGGGGACAGCAGCTCCTCTTTTTCAGACAGTGTGATGAGACCTTTGTTGCCTGGCCCTGAGAACCACTGTGCTCAGGAAATGCCATTCTCTGGGATGTAGCTGCTCGAAAGGAGTCGAGCTGATCCCTGTGTTCTGTGGCCCAAACTTACACTGTCTCCTTTGCTATCTGTCTCACCGCGTTGGGTGATCTTGGGTAGGGAGACTCTCTTTTGCCTTTTTCTGTTCCTTGGTTTCTTCGTTTGTAAATTTGTTCTTTCCCCACGTTACAGGGAGAAGGAGAATGTTCTGCCAATAACAAGGCTCTAAGCTCTTCTTTCTCAGGGGCTAAAGAAATCCCTTTCATGTGATGGAGGAGAGTGCCAGAGAATGTGCTGAAGCCAGTTTGTACCCTCAGTTGGGTTGACTCTGTCTTTGCCAATAACTCACCTCGCTTCCCTGCCCTTATCATTTTTTAACCTAACAGTTGTAGAATTCAACAAACCAATTCATTCACAAGGAATAACTACGTTGAGCTCTAATGGTGAGGCATAGCAGGAGATAAGTTCCAGGCGCACTGCTCAGAAGGGTTAAACCATTTTGGATTGTTAGGAATAGAAAGAGTGGAGGTTTTCCTTCCCAAGACACTTGAAAAATATCTGGAATTTCTCTCATTTATTTCATCTTGTGGTTCACATAGATGTTGAAGTAAATGGATCCAAATCCAGAAGTTTTGTGAGAAAAAAATGGAAGTGTGAGATGTGGCTGACTGCATTCGTTCTCCGAATTGTAACAAATTTCCTTTCTTCAGTTAATCAATATTAATTGAGCACCTACTCCGTGTCAGACACTGAGCTAGGCCCTGGGCGTACAGTGGTGAAGCAGATGAGGTCCCTGCCCTCATGGAGTTCACATTCTCATGAGGAAGGCAGACACTAAACAACTACATTTATAATTTCAGGTAATGGTAAGTGCTGAAGAAAAATAAAACAGAGTGAGAGGAGAGAGAGTGACGGGGGTGGGGTGGGGTGGCTCTCTCAGAGCCGAGGACAAAGGAGGGAGAGGCGGTGCAGATGACCTGGAGGAGGGGCGCCCGAACAGAGAGCGAGGAGTAGTGCAGGTAAGAGGGGCTAGGCTGGGGCAGTGCTTCCGTCACCCCCCACACCCTAGACAAGGGGTATGTTTGTGCCTCTCCGTCCCCTCTGTCTGGCCTGGCTCCTCCTGTGACCAGCAGGTCACGCCAGCAAGATGATGGACTGGCCGACTGGCCGGGGTGAAGAGCATCATCTCCTGCTAGGGAGAGAATAGAGCTACCTCGCCCACCCGAGGCTGGAAGCCTTTTCCTTGCTGTCCTGGGCAGTGCCCTTCCCACCTGGGTTAACAAGCCACCAAACCCTGAATCTGACCGACCTAAGGGAGTCAGGGTTCCCTCTACTGAGAGACAACACAGAACACTGCCGAGTAGGTTCTAAGAATTGCTGGAGGGCAATGGGTCTTCGTATTTCTAGCAAGGAAGAAGGCTGAGAAGGGCTCCAGAAAGTAAGGTTTTCTTGGCCTTCACCCTCATGGGCCCTCAGGTCTTCTGGAGAACTTTCTGCCTTTGGATAAAACCAGACTACCCTTTGTATTTGCCACGGAGAGTCAGTCATTAGCCATTCTAGCCTTGTGCTGACCAATACAGTAGCCACTAGCTGATATGGTTATTGAGCATTTGAGATGTGGCTAGCCTGAATTGAGATGTGCTTTAAGTGTAAAATGCATACTGGTTTTGAAAACAATGTGAAATATCCCATTGATTATTTTTACATTGATTACATTATTTTATATTGATAATATTTTAGATCTATTGGGCTAAATAAAATACATTATAAAAATTAACTTCACCTGTTTTTTTATTTTTTTAATAGAGCAACTAAAAAGTTTAGTTATGTATATGGCTCCATCACAGTTCTGTTGGACTGCACTGGTCTAAATCGATTCCCAGCTCATTTTCTTGAACCTGACATAATCTACTCCAGCATCAGAAAGTTCTTCTTTGCAGCTATTCTAAATCCCTGCCCTCTTGTCCAGGCCTCAGGAGAGATGATGATGAACCGGTTCCTACTTTCCTTGTGATAGCCTTTCATGCTTTTAAATATCTTGACACTTTTTCTTTTTAACTTCATTCCTCAAGGCTGAATAGTGTCAGTTCTTGTCTCTCACGGTGGGGAGGAGGAGGAGAGCTCATGTGGTGCGGCAAAGTCAAGCAGGCCAATGCCCTGCCACATAAGGAAGTTCCCAGAATAGTCTTCGTAGAATGGGTTGTTCAGAGCTAGATGAACAGTTTCCTTGAGCCCGTGGAGGGTTAGGGGCAGCCAGTTCTATTTCAGGCTTTCTCCTCTGGCCCGGTCAGACTTGCTGAAGACAGGAATGAAGCTGTTTTCCAGAATTCTGTCCAGCAAGGGTCCCAGGAGGGCTGGCCAGTGTTGGAATTTATCTCCCTACCTCCACCCCAAAAAGGTAGATCTTCCGAAGACTACCAGGCTAGGACTTTTAATATTTGACACTAGGATGATTTCCTCCT